GGGTGGCGAGGTGAGGAGGAGAACGCGGGCGGGAGGATTTCTTGTCCTCCTGCGCGCTGGGCCCGAGAGAGCCACGATACCTCCAGAAGCGGCGACTCGCGCAGCCGTGCACGGCACGGCCCGTGTCCGTCCCAAGAAGGGCACTTGACAGAAGCGTGAGGCATCCGAGACCCCAGGAAGGGATCGCAGAGGACGCGCGCCCCACCCCGCGGGGACGGCCCGACCTCAGGTAGCCCGCAGGCCAGACAGCCAGGAGGCGGGATGAGGGGGGAGGAGGAGGATGAGGTGGAGGAGGACGGAGGAGGAGGAGGACGGGGGAGGAGGGGGGAGGGGAGGAGGAGGAGGAGGAGGAGGAGGAGGAGGAGGAGGAGGAGGAGGTGGAGGAGGTAGAGGAGGAGGTAGAGGAGGAGGGGGAGGAGCAGAAGGAGGAAGAGAAGGAGGAGGAGGAGGCGGAGGAGGAGGAGGAGGTGGATGAGGTGGAGGCGGAGGAGGAGGAGGAGGAGGAGGAGGAGGAGGAGGAGGAGGAGGAGCAGGAGGGGAATGAGGAGGAGGAGGAGGAGGAGGAGGAGGAGGAGGAGGGGGTAGGAGGAGGAGGAGGAGGAGGAGGAGGAGGAGGAGGAGAGGAGGAGGAGGAGGAGGAGGAGGAGGAGGGAGGGGGAGAAGTGGAGGAAGAGGAAGAGGAGGAGAAGGAGGAGGAGGAGGAGCTTCACTATGCTTCAACATCGGCAGGGCAAACAGGCTCGCGCTGTTGTAAAGAGCAGCTAATGCAAAGCCACCATGCTGCTTTGCCTCCGGAGAAAGGAGAAGGAAGGAGGGAGGAGGAAGAGGAAGAGAAGGATCAGTAGGATAAGGCTACAGGGGGAGGGAGGAGGAGGCGGAGGCGAAAAGGAGGAGGAGGAGGAGGAAGAGGGATAAGAGAAGGAGGGGGAGGACGAGGAGGAAGAGGAAGAGGAGGAGGATGGGGAAGAAGGATGAAGAGGCCGAGGAAGAGGAGGAGGAGGAGCAGGAGGAAGAGGACGAGGAGGAGGAGGAGGAGGAGGAGGAGGAGGAGGAGGGGAACAAGGAGGAGGATGAGGAGAAATAGGAGGATGAGGTGGGAGTGGGGAGGAGGGATGATGATGCTGATGATGCTGCTGATGATGATGATGATGATGATGATGATGATGATGATGATGATGATGGTGATGCTGATGACGAGGATGATGATGTTGATGTTGACCATACTGATGATGATGATGCAGATGATGAGGATGATGATGGTGATGATGCTGATGATGAGGATGAGGATGATGATACTGATGATGAGGAGGAGGAGGGGGAGGCGGAGGAGGAAGAGGACATTGAGGCGGGAGCATGGAGACACGGGGAATGGGCGTCCGAGCGATAGCAAGCCTCGGCGACGGGAGGAAATGGAAGTGATGAGGGAGGCGGGGTGAGAAAGATGAGGACGAAGAGGAGGAGGAGGGAGAAAAAGAGGAGGGGGAGGAGGAGGAGGAGGAGGAGGAGGAGGAGGAGGAGGAGGAGGAGGAGGAAGGACGACGACGACGAGGAGGAGGGGAGGAGGGAGGAGGAGGAGGAGAGAGAACGGAGGAGGCGGGGAGTAGGGAGGATGATGATAATGATGATGATGATGATGATGATGATGATGATGATGATGATGATGATGATGATGATGATGATGATGATGATGATGATGAGGATGAGTGAGGATGAGGATGAGGATGGGATGAGAGGAGGAGGAGGAGGAGGAGGAGGAGGAGGAGGAGGAGGAGGAAGAGTAGTAGTAGGAGGAGGAGGAGACGGACTAGGAGGAGGACGACATGGATGAGGACAAGGCGGGAGGGTGGAGGAGGAAGAGGCGGGAAGGAGGACCCGGAGGAGGCCAGGAGGAGGAGGAGGGGGAGGAGGAGGAGGAGGAGGAGGAGGAGGAGGAGGAGGAGGAGGAGGAGCAGGAGCAGGAGCAGGAGGAGGGAGGAGGGAGGAGGGAGGATGGGTGGAGTATGATGTTGATGATTATGTTGGTGATGGTGATGCTGATGAAGAGCTAATGATGATGATGATGATGATGATGATGCTGATGCTGATGATGATGATGCTGATGATGATGATGATGATGATGATGATGATGAGGATGAGGATGAGGATGAGGATGAGGATGAGGATGAGGATGAGGATGAGGATGAGGATGAGGATGAGGATGAGGATGAGGATGAGGATGAGGATGAGGATGAGGATGAGGATGAGGATGAGGATGAGGATGATGATGTGGAGGAGGAGGAGGAGGAGGAGGAGGAAGAGGAGGAGCAGGAGGAGGAGGAGGAGGAAGATGGGCTTGAGGAGGAGGAGGAGGAGGAGGAGGAGGAGGAAGAGATCGAGGAGGACGGGGCGGGAAGGAGGAGCTCGAGGGGAACGATGTGTGAAAAAGAAGCGCGAGGCGGAGCAGGAGGAGGCGAGGCGGAGCAGGAGGAGGAAGAGGAGGAGGAGGAGGAGGAGGAGGAGG